GAAGAGTCGGACATGACTAAATGACTAAACAACAACAAAAGGAGGTCTTGGGTGGAAGAGAAGCTCCTCACATTCTCTAGAGTCCTGGTGCCAGCTGCAAATTGCCACACTGGGGCAACTGTGGTCACAGTTACTCTTCGTATCTGCGACATGAAACAAATATGAGCCATAACGCAGTGAGATGCTTCCCTCCCAATAAAATATAGGATATAATAAACTGAACCTCTATAAAACGCCATACCACATTCGATGAATTACTGCAAACGCTCCTCCTTGTTGCTGGAACCAGGTAAAGCATCTTGTAACTCTGCCTGTGCCATAAATCCACTTAGCTCTCACTCTTTTTCCGTGCATAATGTGTCTCATCTTGTTTACTTATTACCAGTGATTTATTTATTAAACTGCTCACACAAAGAAGCTATGGAAACAGAACAAGCCTGAAAACTGAAGACAAAGGAGTATGTTCCCATTAGATGTTTAGCAGCTGCTGAAAGTATCCCAGAAATCCCTGACTTCCCTCTTTATACTTTATTTCCTCTTTGTTTGCATTTGTATGTACAGTTGTTTCTCTGCTCTAATGTCACTAAAGGGACATTTTCATTTTTTTTTTATTTTTATTTATTTTTTTTTATTATAATTTTTTAATTGGTTTTTCACATTTTATAAAGACATAACACACACGTAAAAGACAAAGACAAAAAACATGTATAATTTCAGGAATCTTACTTTCTTAACTTTGGTCCTTGACTTCCCCCCACCCCCCCTTCATACATCCCAATTCCCATAATTATGTCAGCAAGTTATTATTTTACCTCCTTACCCTGTTAATATTACATCTTTTGTAGAAGATTACTAAAGGGACATTTTCAGGGTTAACGAAGCTTTCTTCTTTTTCCTTCGCTATGGCCTATCAGATGTCCTGGATGCAAGCTGGATAGGGCTTTATACACCGAAACCAGCACCTTGAACTTAGTCCAGAAGCTAATTTTGAATCCTACCAATAGACTACATTCCAGCCACAAGAAACTCAGGGATTTTTCCACTCAGGCAAGCAACAGTCCTTATCTCAGTTTGCTATTTCATTCGTCGTTCTATTACATAAGTGGTTGGCTTACGCTCGGCTGTGAGGTGTAAGAAACTCCTGGTGTTTGCAGCAGGGGTGCCAACTTGAATAAAATATTGAGGGAGGGGCCAGGTAACCCCCACCCTGCATAATCAATTACAGGTAAAGGTAAAGGCAAAGGACCCCTGGGTGATTAAGTCCAGTAAAACTTGACTATAGCATGCGAAGCTCATCTCGCTTCAGGCCAAGGGAACAGGTGTTTGTCTGCAGACAGCTTTTCCGGGTCATGTGGCCAGCATGACTAAACCGCTTCTGGCACACGGAGGACTGTGACGAGTGCCAGAGTGCATGGAAATACCATTTACCTTCCGGCTGCAGTGGTACCTATTCATCTACTTGCACTGGCGTGCTTTCAAACTGCTAGGTTGGCAGGAGCTGGGACAGAGCTTCTGTTTGGCAAACCCAAGAGGCTCAGTGGTTTGGACCACAGTGCCACATGCTCCCTTAATCAATCGCAAGATGCAGAACAGACATACTATTTGAATGGCAATGCCCCTCAAATATTTTATGGGGGGGGCTGAAGGGACCCTAGGAGTTGGCTCCTATGTTCTGCAGGTACTTTACACCTGACTTTTTTGCACAAAGCCACCACAAGTGTGTGCTTTGAAGAATGGGGGTAGCACCACAAGTAAATTTTGGCACGGAATTCAGTACAGAATTTTATAATGACATTATCATTGTTTTTTCCACTTGGTTATAATTATTGATGGTTTAAATGCCTTTCAGATAGAGGAAGGTTTAAAGGTAAAGGTAAAGGGACCCCTGACCATTAGGTCCAGTCGTGACCGACTCTGGGGTTGCTGTGCTCATCTCACTTTTTTGGCCGAGGGAGCCGGCGTACAGCTTCCGGGTCATGTGGCCAGCATGACTAAGCCACTTCTGGTGAGCCAGAGCAGCGCACGGAAACACGGTTTACCTTCCCGCCAGAGCAGTACCTATTTATCTACTTCCACAGGTGTGCTTTCCAACTGCTAGGTTGGCAGGAGCAGGGACCGAGCAACAGGAGCTCACCCCATCGCGGGGATTCGAACCGCCGACCTTCTGATCGGCAAGCCCTAGGCTCTGTGGTTTAACCCACAGCGCCACCTGCGTCCCCTGGAGGAAGGTTTACATATATCTAAAATCAATAATACATTCCAGCCAGGCAGGGTGAGGAGAGGACAGTGCCAATCTGGGGGCAAATGATGTGGGAGGGGTGTGTGACCCAAAGGCCAGATAGATGACTGCATCCAGATTTATAAGAATAAAAAATGAGCCTGCCAGATCAGGCCAGCAGTCCGTCTAGTCCAGGGACTCAACTACGTTAGTATTTTTCAAAAGCATTTTAAATGCATTATAACACTGTGACACCAGTGGCGCTGTAGAGTTAGGTTTTTCAGCAATGTGATTTCCCATTATGAGGTTTACAACATGTTTTCCTGAAACTTTTTTTTTTTTAACATCAAATAATCTTTACTGCAAATATCATGGCTATTGAAAAGAGGTGTGTTTCTATTGATGATATATTTAAAAATTCAAATCTTGGCTTTCAAGTGTAGATTTACACATATGCATTTACAATTTGCACAATAATGTATTCACTCATGATATGTTTTAGCTCTAGAAAACGCACTAGAATTGCACTTATTTGTGCCTGATTGAACAGGAGGACTCCAGATATTATGCAAATGCACTCTGGATCATAGCCATACACTGGAGAGGCCCGCCAGGGGCAAGCACGGACCAATGGCACCAAATAGCATGGGAAACAGCCCCACTAAAGAAACCAACCAATAAACTGAAACTGACACAGCCCAACAAGACAACGACAAGAATCCACCAACAGCATACGAATCAAAATGGCCAACCCGACTCAAAAACACCCACCCACCCCACTCACACATGAAAACAAAGTTCAACACAGCCAATCACAAACAAACAACCACACCCCAGGCCAACCCCAACCTCCCCCACCACCAAAGGAACACAAGCAAACAGCAAAGAGAACCGCTGACACAAAACCCCACACATACATTAAGAAGAATAGAAACTTTTTTTTTAATGTGTCTAGTTCCAGCCCTGCATCCTAGTCTCACAGTGGCTGACCTGTTGCTTCTGGGAAGCTTGCAAGCTGGACCTGAGCACAAGAGCCCTCAGTTCACCTGTAATTCCCAGAAACTGGTATTCAGAGGCAAAATGCCTTTGTCAGACGAGGAAGGACAGGCATCAGGTTCCAGTGGTTAGGGAGCCAGACTTTCTGTAAGGCACAATGTCACACAGTGGTCCAAATGCTCACAGGAGAAGCTGTTCTCCAGTTGGGGCTTCCTGCAGTAAAAAAAACAAAATTAAGCATTATATTTTGCACCTGAGCTCTCTGGAAGCTCGGGTTTAAGGAGGCAGCTGTGAAAAGCCTGGCTAATCTCCACCAGAAATGAGAGCGTGATCACGGCCGGTTTTTTATTTTAACAGGGGAGAAGATAAACCTTTCCATATTTGAACTGAGCGCGGTTATTAATGGCCCTCCTTACGCTGCCTGACTATGCGGATCCAGGCTGTATCGCTCAACAGCTGGATTTTCCAGCAGCTTCATCTAATATTCACAGGCGATTGTCCCCGCTGATTCCAGCGCAGGTGAAAGGTATTTGACAACCTGAATTATCTCGTTCGGTGTTTGCTTTTGAGCTTCGGCAAAGATATTGGGCAATTATTTGTCTGCGGCTCACTAAAGGGAATGACAGGGAAGTTAAAAAAGAAAGAAAGAAAGTGAAGTGAACTGCTATGGTTACATTTGTATATCTCCATTTCCCCCCAGGTTCCATATGGAAGGCTTACTTTGCAATAACTGTGAGCAGTACATTAGATTGAGAATTAAGGCCCCCCCTCCCCATGTATTATGTACAGTTCCTGTTTCTGATTGTATTCCCCCCCCCCCCAGGGAAAAGTGCCCACAGGAGGCTTGTGTGATTTCTGTGTGTGCAATGTTCACAAATCTCTTGCCATTCCAGCTGATTGCCAGTTTTAATGAATCCTCACTTGCTTTTCTCCATGTAGGGAGAAAACGTCCTTTGCCCACACAGGAAGAAAAGCAATGATATGCAGGGATGGCCGGAGCTCAGTCAGCGATTCCATGATGTCCCCACTAGGTCCTGGCATTATGAGAGTGGGTGCCACCCCCTTTTCCCAATTGCCAATGCAGTTCTGGGCTGCATCAATAGGAGTATAGCATCTAGATCAAGGGAAGTAATAGTGCCACTGTATTCTGCTCTGGTCAGACCTCACCTGGAGTACTGTGTCCAGTTCTGGGCACCACAGTTCAAGAAGGACACTGACAAACTGGAACGTGTCCAGAGGAGGGCAACCAAAATGGTCAAAGGCCTGGAAACGATGCCTTATGAGGAACGGCTAAGGGAGCTGGGCATGTTTAGCCTGGAGAAGAGGAGGTTAAGGGGTGATATGATAGCCATGTTCAAATATATAAAAGGATGTCACATAGAGGAGGGAGAAAGGTTGTTTTCTGCTGCTCCAGAGAAGCGGACACGGAGCAATGGATCCAAACTACAAGAAAGAAGATTCCACCTAAACATTAGGAAGAACTTCCTGACAGTAAGAGCTGTTCGACAGTGGAATTTGCTGCCAAGGAGTGTGGTGGAGTCTCCTTCTTTGGAGGTCTTTAAGCAGAGGCTTGACAACCATATGTCAGGAGTGCTCTGATGGTGTTTCCTGCTTGGCAGGGGGTTGGACTCGATGGCCCTTGTGGTCTCTTCCAACTCTAAGATTCTATGATTCTATGATTCTATGATTCTATGATTCCCACTTCCTCAACACCATGAATAATCTTAAAACACATAGAATCATAGAAGGGACTCCAAGGCTCATCTAATCACCTAGTCCAACCGCCTGCAATGCAGGGATCTTTTGCCCAACTCGAACCCACAACCCTGAGATTACGAGTCTCATGCTTTGCCAACTGAGCTGTCCCAGATCAAGTGAAGCCATTCATTCCGGATCGCTTTTAATGGATTTAAAAAATAAAAAATGTTTGTACATTACTCTGCACCACCCTGATATTTTACCAATGGGCAGCTTGCAAATGATTTTTAAAAATAAATAGAAGATAAAGGGAGGAGAAAGGAATGTCTTGTTCACACAGCACATAGTTAAACTCTGGAATTCGCTCTTTCAAGGCGTTGTGAGGGCCACCAGCTTGACAAAATCATGGAGGGGTAAGGCAGCCAATGACTACTAGCCACAATGGCTAATTGGCTATGTCAAAGTCAATTGTTTTGACTCCGCTGCCAAAGTCAGCATGCCTTTGAAGACCAGTTGCTTGGAACTGCAGCTGGGGAGGGCATTGGTCTTGCACACAGGCAGTGGCGGAGCAAGAAGATCAAGCACCTGGGGCAGTGCCCGTGTCCTGCGCCTGGAGGCGGGGGCCAGCCACCCATGGGGCGGGGCAAGCCAGGGCAGGACGCTCCTCGGGGCCTCCAAGGAATCTGCCTGTTTCCTCTCACTCAGCCGCCCTACAGTTGCAACTTTGGAACGCTTTTACAGAGTTACGATTAAATACAATAAACTCTGCTTATAGAGATGGGAGACACAGAGGCAGACCAACAAACGAAGGTGTTTGCATTAGGGGATGTCCTGAAGTAGAGGACCTTATGCATTATATCTTGCGCTGCCCCTTATATAATGAAGCAAGAGAAAGATTTTTAGCAACCATAATAACAAGGTCCCCTGACCAGAACCCCCTCACATGATTTTATATCTCCTCGCAGACACAGATAAGTATGTGACCTGGCGTGTAGCACTCTTTGCAACTGCCGCTAATTATATAGCCAAGGTAGCCACCAACTGTAAAGGAGATGAATTTATTTGACCCTATCTACATCAAGCTATATTCTAACCTTATCACCAAACTCTGAATATAATTGCACATTGTATTAATTAACATTATTTTTTAATATATCAGTGGCCATGTGATAATTTTAGCTTATAAATTTTATTGTTTAATGTCTTAACTTGTATATTAAGGTACTTTTATAGCTCTGTTTAGAGTAGGTAATATCTTGATAATATAAATGTTTTACCGTATTTTTCACTCCATAAGGCACACTGGACCATAAGATGCACCTAGTTTTCAGAGGGGGAAATCAAGAAAAAAAATCTTATTCCCCCCCCCCAGCCCCAAAGAGCAGCGGAGGCTGCGCGCGGCTATGGCAATACCCCCACCTCCCGCAAAAGCCCACAGGAGTTGCACACCCTTTAAGGAGCGCGCGGCTCCTGCAGGCTTTTATACGAGGTGGGAGAAGGGACTGACTGGCTGTGTCAGTCCCTTCTTCCTCCTGGGGAAAAGCCCGCAAGAGCCACGCGGAGCTTGTGTGAGGCTTTTGGGGGCTTTTCCTGCCTGCCTCCCACCTGCATTCGTTCCATAAGATGCACACACATTTTCCCTTACTTTTTAGGAGGGGGAAAGTGTGTCTTATGGAGCGAAAAAGTTTTTTGTATTAATCCAGTATATTTTCTTTTAATTGTTGAATAATTCTGTGTACATTGAGGCAGCCTTTGGCTATGTGCAATAAAACTGACTGACTGATGGACTGACTGACTCTCACTCAGCCGCCCTGCAGTTGAGATGGAAGCGGCGGGGCTCAGGCAGTTTGGGGCAGTGTGGGGCCTGCGGACAACCAAGCCACCACATCACTCCCAGGAGAGCTGCAGGCCCTGCGGTGAGCGCCGTCAGGCATTTCGTCACCCCCCTCAGTGGTGACACCAGGGGCGGTCTGCCCCCACCACACACCCCTTCCTCTGCCCCTGCACTTGGGTCTCGCTTGTGGGTTTCCCACAGGCATCGGGCTGCCCGCTGTGAGAACAGAATGCTGGACTAGATGGGCCATTGGCCTGATCCAGCAAGACTCTTCTTATGATTATTTTAATTGGATTAAAGTTTTGCCATTCCTTGCGTACACACACACACATACACACACACATCTGCATCCAAGATTGCTGCTTCCTATGGGTGTGTTTCTTATTCTTATTTTTTTAAAAAAAGAGTCACTCCACTAAGTGTCATGCGTTGCATAGTAATCTGAGACGCTTCATGAATATTCCCCATGCATGCAAAGGATGTCAGGGCTGCAGCAGCCAGCCCATCGCCTGAGAGAATCAGGCTACCAACATTATTTGTAGGGGCCATTGCCATTTATACCCACCTAGCGCAGTGACTTTCCAGCCTTAGATTTCTCGAAACTGTTGGAGGCTGGTGGGAACAATTTTTCCAAATGAAAGTCATATTGGAATGCATTATTCATGTATGGTAAAGGGAGAGGGGGGGATGTTGATGTTCTCAAGCAGTTAAGCATCGTTTGGCTACCCAGAGCTCAGCTTATTACATGCTGGGAAGAGTTACAGTGTAGCAAAATCTAAACCCAAAATGTAATTTATTGTGATTAAGTGTCAAGAGAGGAGTAAACAGATCTACCACTGCGATTTCAGATCTTTTCTTATAGCACAGCAAAAAAACAACCCTGTGCATTCTCCGCAGGAATTTCTTCTCCAATTATTATTTCGTTGCTGTTGTTAATTGCTGTATTTTCGTTAACCATTCACAATCACTTTATACTTTTCTCTCAACGGCATTTAATTGTTTTGTGTGTTTTTTGTAGGGGTGATGCATTAAATGAGTGTTGAAAAACAAACAGATGTTATAATAGTAACAAGTGGTCCTAGGCCCCTTGTTTAGTTACGGAGGTAAATTCTCTGTTGAATGGGGCTTTCAACAGGGACTTTGGAAATATGAGAAATACGAAATCTGAAATACAAGAGACCCCCCCCCCTGGTATTGGCATTCTGCCAGCTCTTTAAGATGCACCTGTTTAGACAAGTATTCCCCAGATTTCCTGACTTGAACCTCCTAATCTAATCAGTGTAATTGCAGATTTAACTGCTTGAACTGTTTTGCTGTCTTTGTGGGTTTGTTTTATCGCACAGCCTTATCGCAAATTCTTTAAGGTTGCCTGCTCAGGAGCATCCCAGACCCTGAGATTTGAAGGCCCCAAATTGAGACCTTGGGGTTGGAGGCCCTCCTGGTGGTGTCATGGGGTGGTTCCTGTTGATGTCACCAAACATTAAACACAGTTGCTGGGAGCGTGTCATTCAAACAAAACGCAGAAGGTCTAACAAGTGAGCAAATAGGTTATTGTAGCTGCAGCAAGATGGGACCTGGATGGCGCTGTGGGTTAAACCACAGAGCCTAGGGCTTGCCGATCAGAAAGTCGGGGGTTCGAATCCCTGCGATGGGGTGAGCTCCCATGCTCCTGCTAACCCAGCAGTTCGAAAGCACGTCAAAGTGCAAGTAGATAAATAGGTACCACTCCGGTGGGAAGGTAAACGGCACTTCCGTGCACTGCTCTGGTTGGCCAGAAGCGGCTTAGTCATGCTGGCCACATGACCCAGAAGCTGTACACTGGCTCCCTCTGCCAATAAAGTGAGATGAGCGCCGCAACCCCAGAGTCGGTCACTACTGGACCTAATGGTCAGGGGTCCCTTTACCTTTTAGCTGCAGCAAGACACGTACACGTACAATAAATTAAAAGCTGGTTTTATTCCAGAAAAACATGCCACTTGTCTGGATCTCTCTGCCCCCATGACTTATGGCTACCCTGATGATGACTCAACTAAATCCTCAGCGTTGTTCCTCTTCCTCTGGAAACAACACATGAAAACGAATCTCTTCTGTCACTTCTGTGATGTCAATTTCCCCTTTTCTTGTAACCCTCCTCTCCTGCGTTCTTGCATGCTGAGAGGTTTGGAAACTGGCTCGGACAAGCTATTGTCTGATAAGTTCTGTGTTTCTCTGGGCTGTGAACTCCCCCCCCCCCCGTACTTTTCTCTGGTCTTCCCATAACAAACCTCCCTTCGTCCCCTGGGCTGCCATCCAAGTCTGGCAGCTGCTGTTGCTTGCTTTTATCTTGACTACCAAGATGGCATCTGCAGAGCTTCCAGAACAGTTCACCTTTGGTTCAACACAAGGTGGGCACTCTAAATTGTGGTGTGTATGAGTTGGATAAGTTGCCCAGTCAGTCCTTAGGCTTGCAGATGAGCTACTGCCAGCAGTGGGATTAGAGCAAGGCAAAATATCTTAAATCAAGGCTAGCTGGTGTAATGTAATGTCCTCCACAGTTTACTTGGAATACAACTCCCACCACCCCCAGTCAACATGCAACACCCTCCCACATTTCCATTGTCTGAAGTGCTATTGTCTCGGAAAGTCCTGGGGAATTGATTCTGGCATAAACTGGGGCTGGGTAACCTTCCATATCCTTATGGGCCCCCGCCAGCCCCAGTCAGCAGGTCATGGGCCAGGAAGTTGGCTTCACCTGCTGAGCAGCAGCCTGAAGGAGCAGAAGGCGAAGTGACTCCACCTGCTGATGATCAGCCTTCTTGCTCCTGATGAGAACCCAGTGGCTCCAGCTTTCTGAAATAGGGTTTCCAGCATCAGTCGGTTGCTGGAAACAATATTTGTTGTTCCTGGTCAAACCTTGCTGCTTCTTGCTTCTCATGTCCTTGGACCCTCGGCTTTCTTGACCCCTGGATTGTCTGACTACGTGAACTGAGACACTCCTGACCTTAGGACTGGACTGGACCTTGTATATACGGACTCTGCCTCCAGGCAGCTACCCCCAAGATTCAGCTGGTGGGCTGGCTTCTCCCTCCACTGAGCTCTGCCATGTCTGGCAGCACAAGACTATGACACCAAAGGTCGGGGTGATGGGAGTTGTAGCCCCACAAAATCTGGAGGATGTCACACTGGCTACCCCTAATTTAAATCAAGTCTTTGCTTCTTCAGGGGTGAAATTGCCCTGTAACCCGTTCAACCAAGATGCTTTAATTTCACAACTTGAACTGGGGAGGGAGGAGAAAAAAATCTTTCCAATCGAATCTATATAGATCTCTGAATGCTAAATCTAGTAAAGTTATC